GGTTCACGTCAACGAATTGTCTAATTGCAGTATCGAAACTATGAGTGTTATATTTGGTACACATTAATGGAATTCCTATTTGTAGACTGCAAATAGGAATTGCAGTACATATTCAAAGTCTACATTAATGGCACGCCTTACTCACATAAAATACTGTAAAAGTTATTTACCAACTAACCCATTAGACCCATGTTAAATTAATAAAAGTTTTTGTTACAGCATTTATTTCTGGTTCAATGTAGTCGACATTTTTCACAGAAGTGTTAACAAAATAAACAAGAAATAAACAATAATAACATCGTGGGTTCGCCCAGACCTGAGACAACCTGTAACATAAATAATTTAGAGCATCTACTGAAGTTTAATTTAATCTATGCTTATTACCAATTCTGCTATACAGTATTACCGTCTCACCATAAATATTGGTGTTAACAAAAAGCCATTCAAGAATGAATAATAAAACTTTATTTCCACAAAATGCACTATTACTGTAAATTAAAACGTCAAGCTTTAAATCAAGAAATAAAGGACAATGTTATTTTTCAATAAAATATACAGTTTCCTGAAACCCTCCATGCAGAGGAGCTATAGGTACATCTACAAGAAATAAATTAAAGATATAAAATAAAACAGCACACTTAACTCGGTTTAAAAATGTATATATTGTACTCGGTCAGCGTGTGGGCATGATAGAGATATTTAAAAATAAAATAACGTAGATTTTAGCGAATTTCCCATACAGGGAATAGCTATTACCGTAGTACTCATGATAAGACCTGGACCGGGACCGATTTACTTTTTCGTTTTGAGGTTTTTGGAGGCCAAAAACACCATCCGTTCAAATTAATATACATATGTGTGTGTGTGTGTGTGTGTGTGTCCGTTAGCAAGATACCTCGAGCAAAAATGATCCGATTTTAATTTGGTACAAACGTGTAAACCTACATTATTCAAACGAGTTCGCGAACCAGCATTATCGAACTGTGGGAACGGGGGTTTATGGGGGGTTTAAAAATAGGTGTAAAAATAGGGTTTTCCTATTTTTGACCCTAAAAAAACAAAATTTCACAATTTTTTCCAAACCATTTTGTAGAGCTGAAAAAAAAACAAATATAGTGTATTGAAGCGTTATTATGGGTCTGACTTAGGGGAGGTACGAATGAGGCATTTAGTTCTAAATTCCTCCGTGAACAGCGCTGTAGCAGAGAGCACTTTGGCAATGAAGGTTTACTAATCGCAAAAATAGTTCTGTTCATAAAATAAAATTATAAATGCCTCAAATTCAATTTTATTATTTTTTAATTATAAAATTAAACCATCATAACCTAACCGAACTAACCAAACTTGCTGATAAAGAAATAATATAACAAAAGTTTAGTAATCGGAAAAATAATTCTGTTTATTAAATAAAACTAGAAATTGCTCAATTAAAATTGTATAATGACTTAATAATAAAATTAAACTGTAATAACCGAACCAAACCAACCAAACTTGCTGATAATAAAAACATCTTGGACAAAAAGTTAATGCTACCAGCGGGATTCGAACCCGGGACCTACAGTATATCAGCCCAGCACGCTAACCATTAGACCACCGAGGCCGATGGATATTGTCTGTTTTGTTACGGTAATGGCGTTCCCTCAGCTAATAAGAAGCCCACAGCTGTCATCGTAGCCTCTTCTATACCTCCCCTGAGTAAATACCCGTTATTATGCATCTAATTGTTACCGTACGGAGAAAAATCCGAAAGACTTTAAATTTGAAATTCCCATGTTATTCTTATGGAGAATGAGTCAACTGTTGTAGTTTGCATGTTTGAACATATTTTGATTAAATGTGGAAAATGCATCAATTTTGTACTAAAACTACAGTATTAACATTTTACAACAAAAAACACTTTTTTACCCGCACTATTCAGGTTTTCTGTGATTCAGGGGACGACTATTTGGTTGACCCGGATCAACAAAATGCAATACATTTAGCAAAATAACCACTTAGAATGTAGATATTTACATGAAACTTGGAACGAAGGTATATCCACAAGTACCTGTATTCTACACGTACCTATGTAAAATTTGGTAACGATAAAAAATATGTATACCTATTTTATGAACTAAGAACCACCCAAAATAGCTAATTTTATTTTGTTGACCCGGGTCAATATTGCGAAAAAGGTACTTAGAATTAAACTATATACATGAAACTTGGAACTAAGGTATGTCAACAAGTATTCTACACTATGTAAAATTTGGTGACGATTAAAAAATATTTACCTATTTTAGCGAATTTCCCCTATAAGGAATAAGCTATTACCGTAGTACTCATGGTAAGACCTGGACCCGGGACCGATTTACTTTTTCGTTTTGAGGTCCCTAGAGACCAAAAACACCATCCGTTCAAATTCATAAATTCATATATATATCCCGTCCGGGAAGGGTTAACATTTTACAAAAAAAAAAACAGTTTTACCCTCCCTGATGCAGCAAACCTAAGTACTTAAACTAATTCTATTTAAATAGGAATAAATAAATGTTGTATTTTTAAGTAGACATTTGAGTGTAAATCCAATCAGGCTAATGGAAATTCGCTTAGTCTGCAGATGCTGCGCCGGGGGTATTATTAACAAATAACCGCCTAAACAGCTAATTTAATTTGTTGACCCGGGTCAATCACGTAAAAAAGGTACTTAAAATTAGGTTATTTACATGAAACTTGGAACGAAGGTATATATACGTCTATTCTACACGTATGTAAAATTTTTTAACAATTAAAAAAAAATTACCTATTTTATTATAAAAAAACCCCGCCACAAACAGCTAGGGCGGTTTTTGTTAATAAAATAGGTAAATATTTTAAATTAATACCTTCTTTCCAAGTTTAAAGTAAATATCTATATTATAAGTGGTTATCTTGCTAAATGTATTGAATTTGTTGACCCGGGGCAACAAAATAAATTAAGCTAGGCTGATTACGGAGGTTTTTTGATAATAAAATACGTAAATATTTTTCAATCGTTACAAAATTTTACACACGTGTAGAATATAAGTAAATAAACCTTCGTTCCAAGTTTCATCTATAAACTTTAATTCTAAGTACTGTACCTTTTTTGGCGATTGTCCCGGGTCAACAAAATAAAACTAGCTATTTACGGCAGTTTGTTGTTAATAGGAAAATAGGTAAATATTTTTTAGTTGTTTCCAAATTTTACATACGTACTTATAGAATACATGTTGATAAACCTCCGTTCCAAGTTTTATCTATACTTTAATTATAAGTACCTTTTTTCGCGATTGACCGGTCAACAAAATAAAATTAGCTATATTTTGGGCGTTTTTTAGTTAATAAAATAGGTAAATATTTTTTTATCTTTACCAAATTTTACATACATGTAGAATACATGTGGATATACCTTCGTTCTAAGTTTCATGTAAATATCTACTTTTCAAGTGGTTTTTTTGCTAAATATATTGAATTTGTTGACCCGGGTCAACATTATAGGGAGTCCCCTGTTGCAGCAAACCTAAGTTCTCGTTAAACTAATACTATTTAAATAGGTAATAAATGCGATATTTTTAAGGAGACATTTTAGTGTAAATCCAATCAGGCAAATGGAAATTCGCAGTCTGCAGGTCTTCTGCGATGGGGGTATTATTTTATTTATTATACAACTACATGAGTACAAAAATAAGGGATCATGTTTTTCTGTATGCCTTATTCTAATCACTGATTCTGATTGGACTCCTAACAGCAATTGCCATTGGCTACATCGTCGTAAAAAAAAACAGATGATTGGTGAGTGAGTGCGTTTTGCGACGAGACCGTTCATGGAGGACACCAACCCCCCCCCCCCCCCCCACTACTGCGCCCGGGACTGCAGAATTGTTATCGGAACGGAGCACGGAACACACGAACTGCACTCGTCAAAATAAATTGTTGTTATCACCGTCGTCTTCTGTCAAAACGTCAACGTCCTTGTTTACGTTATGATCAGCTGGATAATTCAATTGCTGTTGCTGTTAATATTTATTTTTGCAATTCAATTCAATGTAAAGGTTTACTGATTTGTTGGAAATTAAATATTTACTATTTTTAAAGCTTTTTAAAGCTTAAATGTGTAAATTTGGGTTTGCGTCCATATTACAAAAGAAAATTGCTACAAATTGCTTATTTTTAGCAGGAAACCTCTACTGTATTAACTTTGTGATGATTGCAGCATTTGCAGCGGAAACTCCTCTTAGGCCAAGTAAAATTTGTACAACAAGGACATTAAAATATGTTTTCAAGTGGTTTTAGAATTATATTACTACATCTAAGAAACTTTTTTTTATAAAATTTTTTTCGAAGCGTTCAATCTATTCACAGTTAAGGGAAACAAAAAATCATCTGGAACAACATTAGGCCTATTCTGCATTTTCTCAAGTAAGACGTTATTACAACAACTAAATTGTGGCAGACAGGTTATGCAGGAATTCAGGGAGTTCTAGTAATAATGTGAACAAATTATATTGCTTTTAAGTAAAAAAAAGTAAAATAATTATTTGTAAAGATATAGGCCTACTGGCTGGCAACAATGACGAATATAATCATAAACAATCGAATATGACTGAGTGGAAAATATTTGTAAAAAACACTAAATAATAACATTTAAAAAATGATAAAATAATGAGTATTTCCATTAGTTACATAATCTTTGAGTTGACGCTTAACTCATCGGAAATTGTGACTGTTATTCGTTTTTAAACAACTCCTGAAAAATACTTTGGTTTAACGAGCAACTTTAGTTTAACATTAAACAAAACCACTTTTGTTCCTATCGACTATTTTTCGTTCTAATGAGGATAGGAGGCTTGGGATTTGAAGAAGAAGAAACCGCACCGATGTACCGTTCCGATTCCAATTCCGCTAACCCACGGCGCGGTGGTGGGGGGTTGGGGTCCTCCATGAACATGAACAGTCTCGTTGTTTTACGTTGCGTTTGCGTTGCCATTGGCTTGGCATTGCCAATTGCCATTGGCGACACTACTTGCCCCTGCGTACGATGTCGTACTAACTACTACTTTTGTTGTTTTGTTGCTGTGTCTTAGAAGATTAGTTATCTCGAAAAGCTGTATTTTTGAAATGGTGATTTGCCAATTTTATTTGCGTGTTATTGAACACATTATTTGTTCTATGTTGTCCTGAATCAGATTTTTCTACTTGAAGTCCGAGAAATGATGATTCAAGATGATGATGATGGGTGATCAGTTTCGAAAAGTGGACCAATATTCACCTAAATCATCACCTAGAGGGGCTAGGTCCCCTGTTGTTTCACGTCAAGATTCTACAGGAACTCTCAAAACGACGATCTCACTCGGGAAAAACCCCTCTATCGTCCATAGTGGACCCTTCTACTTAATGAAAGAGCCCCCAGGTAAGCTAGGCCTATCCTAGGCTATTTTTGACCAATAGGCCTATACAAAGTAATTTTTGTACCCTAGGCTACTTAACTTTATTTTTTCAAGGATCAATAAGTTTTATTCATTAGCCTATAAACCCCTGTACAACACATGCATTGGATGAAAGTCAATCAAATTAAGCCTAGGCCTAAGTAGGCTAGGCCTATAGGAATTAAAATTTACACAGAGGATTCGCGTCCGGCAGTGACGTCACCGGGTTGTGGGGGCCTGGAACGCCATTACCACAACGATACAACGTGTAGGCCTAGGCCTACAGCCATCGGTGTTCGTGGTGTAAGTGGATAGAGTGCTTGGTTGATATGCAAGAGGTAACTTATCTGGTTTGAATCCCATCGGTAAACTTAACTTTTTGTCAAAAGATTTCATTTTGAATGCCATTTCTTCTTAACTGTAGGCCTACATCTTTTGTTAGAATTTTTGGCATTTACAATTTTATTTTATGAACAGAATTTAATCTTCATTCGATTTTGTTGTATAGGCCTATGTTGAATTAAATATTAAGTAGGCCTAGTTGAATTTGTAGCAGCTGATTATTATTATTGTTTATGTTTGTGGTTGCTAGGGTTGTGAATCATTCTAAAAAGCCAATAGCCTACATATTAGTTTTACAGTACTGAAGTTTTTACAATTATTTCTAAAATAGTTAACATGTTGTAAGAATAACTTGTGAGAATGGATTGTAAACCTGCACCTCTTGATTTGAGCAACCTCAGCCAAGGAAGATTGGGGGTAGACTTCCCTAGGCCTATCTGTTGGCACAAGCAACCGAATGAAAATATTGACGTACCTATATATCGATTATTCTATATATCGTTGGTTAGTTAGGTACAATGTTAACCTAACCTGACTAACCAAACGATATATCAAATAATCGAAATTTCCATTCGGTTGTTTGTGCCAACAGATAGGTACGTAAGTCTACCCAAGAATGGAGAGTATTTAAGAAGCATATGGGAAAACTACATGTTACTAGCATAGGCAGGAGCAGTAGGCCTACATATGTAGCACTAGGCTAAGTACACCAAGACTCAAACTGGCTATGTTTAACACATTGGTAGGTAAGCCTTAAATTGATTGAAAAACTTAAAGATAGGCCTACCAACAATACAAATCTTGCTGGTATCATGGAAGCATTGGATTCATATTTTGTAGGAACGACAAATCCCTTAGGCCTATATGAAAGGTTTTTTGTTTAACAAAAGAATCCCACACAATAATGAAAATATAAAGGATTTTCTAGGAAGGTTGAAAGAAGGAGCTAAACGTTGCGGTATTGATGGTTTGTCAACTAGACTCAGGAGCTACATGCAATGTTATGAGTATCACTGATTTATGAAGACTGTTGGATACTGATAACTTAAGCCAGTTTTGAACAAAAGTGTGGTCACTCTATCATTCTATGGAGGAATGTCACAAAAATCATAAGGAAATATTGTCTTGAGACCTAAATTTAATAAACGGTTCTATGATTTGAGATTTGAAGTACAGTAATGGAAAGAAAAAAAAATCCGTTACTAGAGGCAAGTGATTGTTTGAGAATGGGTTTGATTACCACCGATGATGAGGTGTTTCAAGCGTTAGCAACCACACAAGTCCAAACAAATGATTTATTTAGTAAATATCCTGATGTTTTTGAAGGGCTTGGATGTCTTGAAGGTTCAATACAAAATAAACTTTTGGCAAAACTTGGTTTTTGGCAAAGGAGACACAATTGAAGATGCAAAGTTCAATCATGACAAGAACCTTCAAGCATTACTGGAAAGAGCTCGACAGCGAGGAATAAAATTCAACAAAGACAAATGCAAAATTGGAGCCGACAAAGTTACATACTTGGGACATCTAATAACAACAGAGGGAGTTAAGTCTGATCCCAAGAAAATAGAAGCGATCAGTAAACTCAAACCACCCACTTCTAAAGACGAAGTCAGGAGATTTTTGGGATACATAACGTACCTGTCAAAATTCTTACCCAAACTCTCAGAGATAACGGCACCAATTAGAGATTTACTTAAGGATGACTGCAAATGGGTCTGGGACTCACCTCAAGAACAGGCATTCCATAAATTGTTAAGAATGGTTCAAGGAGCCCCTACCTTAGCATTTTTTAAAATGAAAAACGGAGTTGCTTGATTCAATGTGATGCGAGCCAATATGGACTGGGTGCTTGTCTAATGCAAGAGGGTAAACCTGTAGCTTACGCGTCCAGGCCATTGACAGACACAGAGACATCATACGTGCAGATTGAAAAAGGAATGTTTGGCGATTGTATTTGGACTTCAGCGTTTTGAACAATTTATTCATGGAAGGAATGATGTTCTTTTAGAAACAGACCACAAACCACTGGAGTCAATATGTAAGAAGCAGATTGTTCCTGCCCCAAGACGATTACAAAGAATGCTACTGAGACTTCAGAGATACAATTTCAATGTTATTTACAGACCTGGAAAATCCACTGTAATAGCAGACTACTTATCAAGAGCACCTTAGTTAACTTAGTTACTAAATTAATTCTTTACCAGGTGCATTTGTCTGAACTGCTTATATTTATTTATTTATTTTATTGTCTGGAAACCTTTAAACCAAATTGTCTTGCATGCTGTAGGCTTAGTCATATATTTACATTATATTTTGACAAAATCTATTGTAACTAATATTATTTAATGATGAATGAAGATTTGATTTGAAAGCCTGGGTAGCCGAGTGTAGGACCCAGACCTAATCTTAAACACATTTCCTGAAGTGTGAAATTATGTAAAAAGTTAGCACCATTTGTGCTATAACAGTCTTATTCCTGTTAACTTAGTATCTGATTACTTTGGACTAACAGATTGTCTCTTGTAAATTTGTAATGTTTAACAGCCTTTATTTTTTTGTTTCAGCTGAAAGTGAATTAACGGGGGCTGTAAATTTGATGGCCTGTTATGGCCTTGAACATACATATAGTAAATTTAGTGGCAAGAAAGTAAAAGAACAACTTTCATCATTCCTTCCAAATCTTCCCGGAATCATAGATACACCAGGTCATCAGGATAACAGGTAATACTTGATGATTCATTTTATTAGTAGGTAAATTAAAAAAATTAAATTGTAACGATAAAGACCAATACAAGTTTAAAATAGTCCACTCTTCTATTATTTCTGTCTACATTTATTTCTTATGATTCAGTAGAACAACTCATATCTTTAATACTTTAATACTTTACTTTCTTATGAAATGGCGACCATACAATGTAGGTATTTTAAGCCAAGTATGAATGGAGATGAGTGTAGGATGAGTGGCGCGATCTTGTAGTCTTGTTAGTGACTAAGGCCGACATTCCTTAGACACAGCTGTTAATTAATAGCCCAAACAGCTAATGGCAACTAAGGGACCTACAGTTTATAGTGGAATCCGAACCACATTTTTTCCTTGGTATATACGAATTGGTCTAATTATCAGGATAGTACTGCGGATAGTCGTAATACTCACTAGTGCGGACGTTAATCCACACCAGGGAGTATCCCATCCACAGTGCATACCTATAAATATCCACAATCCGTGACCTCCTAGTAGCTGGATTACAGGACGACGCCACCCGTCCCAGTCTTAATCTTCCTACCCGATATCTGACCATGAAGGGTAAGGTTGAATATAGGTAGGAGCAAAAAACTTTTTTTACTAGTAAGAAAGTTAATTTATTTCACAAAAAACTATAAAGGTACAAGTAGGCCTAACTATGAATACATTACCTAATTATGAAATAATCTTTAGCAAAAAATGTGAGTAATATACTACACTGTACATTATGCACTTAAAGAAGTATTCATTGAATATGATCAATTATTACTGTACTGTAAGCCTACTGCAATGCATATACATCACAATGTCATAATTTCATCGTGATGATTTCCTGTGGTACCGGTAATGGAAAATCATCATCGCCGCCTTTGGTCACGGAAAATACCCACGGTCAAGCCAAATCATCGTATTCCATGGTCGCGGTAAAATCCTGGAAGTCTATCGGGATTGTTTTTCTCATTACTTCAGGCTAGACCTAGGGGCTGCAGTATTTTCACTTATATCAAATCCATTGGTGATTTGGCAGGATTTGAACTCGGGAACCGAAGTCCCGCGCTCCAACCACTAGACCAGCTCGCACTCCAATATGGGTAGACATTAGTTATATGTTGGAGGATGTTTTTTGCAAGAGGTTTGGCGTGGCAAGCTGAGCTGAGGACTTAGACAGTTACGCCAAATCGCAAAAAAGTGCTGTTGTTGGACTGAAGCAAACAGTGAAAGACAGGTTCGCACAATCTAGGTCGTCGCGCCATGTAGCTGTGTGGCGCTAAGCGTTACCAAGTCCTGGATAAGTCCATGGTAAAGATATATTATTCTCCGTGCTTGCAGTCAAACTCTGATAATCTCCTGTGGCCATTTAATCATCATCATTTCCATCTCTAATCGCAGCAATATCCTGCGATTACAAGATATTGCAAACGTCTATGGTGCCAAGTAGACTTCATCGTCTCCGGGCTTTCACAAAAAAATATTGAACATTTCCCACAGTCACGGAAATAAGCTATTATTATAGTCTTCCACGACCATTGGAACTTTATCGTTCTAATTCGCGATAACGATAAAAGCTGGAGTTATTTTAATCCCCGATCTTTGCAGACGAGTTCTGCAATCACAATTACTTTGTGATAGTCTCGATTTACTCACTAACATTCTATTTCTTGAGCGTGTAGACTCGGCTTGAAAATTAAGCCTCTCGCACATCTCCATAGTTAACTTATTTAAAGTTTTTAATAGGACCTATGGTCGGATATCCCAAGGATTCGGTTATGCTGAGGTCGGATATGAGGGTTCTACTGTATTAACTGCTGACTGCTATTCATTATTTTGACATAATTTGGCCTACAATTTCAGAAATCATATTGGAATAAACCATTTTTTTATTAATTTATGGTAGTGGAGGGGGATTGTTGTCATGCAGCTTTCTTATAAACATAATCCCATCAGTTATCTCTAGGTACTTGTTCAGAGTTATCAGCTTATGTCTTTTACAATAATCACCAGATCAGCAACCAAGAAATAACATAGGCTATATCAATGTAGCATGGGAATGGAAGGAAGCAGCGTGTGGTCACTTTTAGACCCTTGGATCAAAATTACTATTTTTATTTAAAAGGCAATATGCAAGTAGGATTTTAGCCAGAGTTAATACATTTTTTTAAAACTACTGCTGCAACAAACTCAACAGAGATAATGTTTTAATGCCAGTCCATATTATTGTTTGGCCGCTGCACTACACCAGCTGTGCCTCTAGGATTCCGTGATGTACTGGCTTTCAACGTTTGTATCTTTGGTGTAGTCATCAATTTTTCTGTACAGGAACGTTAACCATTGTCGTAAAAGATACGGGTGGCTTACCAATATATATGCCCCCTAACTTACTTTATTTTTGACTAAAATACCTTCTAGCTACACGTCCTAACCTAACCTTGTATATTACATTCTAATGTTTCCTGAAAGGGACACTAGCAACCCTCACACCCCCAGGACCTCCTCCCCCCCCCCATGTCTAAACACATTTGACTGCTAATTGGATGGCACCCTTTCAACAATCGATTTTTCAGCCCTGAATGCCAATATCCTTCCACTGAGTTAGTGTTATATATTTAATATTATAATAATTGGTTGCAGCTCCCTGAGGTCAGTGATAGAAAAGCCACCAATCGGAGGCAAGGAACTTCTACCTCTGACAAGTGTACAGCTTGCAGGCTTCCGACTTCACCCTGGACCTGTGAGTTCTTGTTCCATCTACCCCTTGTACATTTCCTATGTAGGTGATATAATAACTGGTACCAACAAATGGAACATGCAAAAGAGTTTACTCCCACTCCTAGTAGAACCTTTACCCCGAAGCCATAAATCTGCAATGACCAGTTATCAGACCTGTCACGTTCCAAGATTATGCTTGCTGAGCTTAATGACAGCTTTACAATATTGATAGTAACATCGAGTAATTAGCTCGTCTTAATCCAGTTTTAACCTCAGGGCATATTACCTGACCATTTTACATTCACCTTTTTGTTCAATCTAATTAAGAGTTCTTGGAGGCTAGTGGCCATCTTAGATAATTTCAAACAGCTGCCGAAAAGTTTATTATCATTGAAAAATAGCTTTTCAAACCCCAAAGTGATTATAATGTAAATATCTAGTATACCGTAAAATTATAAATGTTGTTTGTTGTTTTGAATGTATTTCCAAGGTAGTCCATGGAAGCCAACGGCTATCTTGGATTTGCCCAACAGCAATGTTAATTTTGTTATTTTCAAACAGCCGCTGAAGAGTTATTTACCACCCAAAATAGTTTTTTAAATTCCAAAGGGATTGCAATTTAAATATCTGGTAGGCTATACTGTGAGATTAGAAATTTGTTTTGTAGTTGTATAGCGAATTTACCATATAGGGAATAACATATCACCGTAGTTCTCATGGTGAGACTTAGACTCGGGACTGATTTACTTTTTCGTTTTGAGGTCCCCAAAGGCCAAAAAACACCATCCGTTCAAATTCATATGTATGTGTGTCCGTTAGCGCGATAACTTGAGCAAAAATGATCCGGTTTTGATGAAATTTAGTGCAAACTAGTAATCCTGCGTTTATTGGAACAAATTCGCGAACCAGCATAGAATCAGACTAAAGGAACGGGGTTTTATGAGTTAAAAATTGATTTTCCCCATTTTTCTTCTAAAAACACAAAAATTCCATAATTTATATCCAAACCATTTTGTAGAGCTTAAAAACAGAAATAATTTTGTATTTGTTGTAAGCGTTGTTGTATGCCCAACGATTACGGAGATTAGGGCCTATTAAAAAATTGTAAATTTAAAATTACCATGTTATTCTTATAGAGAATAAATAAACTGTTGTAGTTTACTTGTTTATGCATATATCTTAACCAAATTTGTAAATTTTGTTTAATTTCATACCTACTAAGCTATCAACATAAAAAAAAAAAAAAAAAAAAAACACACCTCAATATCGTCCCTGTAGCAGCAAACCCTAAGTACTCACTAAAAATTTATGTTATTTAGATAGAAAATAAATCTGACAATTTTTAGGAAATATTTTATTAGAAATCCAGCCAGGTAAATGGAAATTTGCTTAGTCTGCAGGTTTGCTGCGGCAGGGGTTTATGTAGATTGTTTTATGAGTTAGAACGTCTAGGTTCCAAGGACTCTAAGACGCCATAGTAACGAGTAGGAAGCCCATAGATTGCAAATGGAATCGTATGTGACTTGTGAGCACTTTTAGAGCACTGACTTAACATAATCAATGTAACAGGCAGCTATATAGTGTTTGATGGGTTTTCTTTAGAAATATGAAGGCCACACGAAAAACTCTCTTTTTAAATTCATATTTGAAAGCATAGCCTCAAACCCATTGCTTTTTTCCATCACTTTATGTCCATCTAAGCATATTGTACTTTATTTCATTGCTAATAAAGGCATTCATGCATTACAGCTTCCAGAACAGTATCGCTATGTTAGCCAGGCACCTGTCAAGAAACATAGATACAAACATAAAAAACACAAGCACAAAGCCGGTGAGGTGGGGGTGGTGGGGGGAGAGACTGTTGTGGGAGATGGGACAGGTGAATCCCACGAGAAGAAGCATAAGAAACAGAAAAGACATGACGAGGAGAAAGAAAGAAAGAAAAGAAAAAAGGAGAAAAAGAGAAAAAAACAGAAACACAGTCCCGAGCACACCGGTGGAGGAATGACTCCAAGTCAACATGCCAATGGTTGAGTTAACTGTAAGTAGGTCTTTTGTAGATTATGTCACAAAATAACTACAATTAACAACTATTGAGATCTTTACAAGTCAAGAAAACAATACTTCTACATCCATTAGGGAATCATCCATTACAGCCTAATCTCTCTCTAAAACAGTAATATTTATTAATTTAACCCTTTCTGTGTTAGACATTTTTTTTATTTTTCTGAAAAATGCTGGTATTTTTTCATGTAATATCTGTAAAGTGCTAGGGTTAAGGTATACTAACTTGAAACCTGTTTTGTTTTGTAACTAATAAAATTCTCCAAATAAAAAATATACCAATATTAGGGATGGACGAGATTGAATTTTCCATTCGAGACGAGACGGGATTTTTTATTTCTCATAAAATTTTGAGACGGGATTTTGCTTCTCATACATAACAGGAAATGCAAGTTTGACATTTTAAGCTAATTTTGTAACATTGTTAAATACCTACTAATTTATAACAGATGGTTAGTTAAATACAAAAATAATAATAAGCAAGAATCTCAAATATTTTATCAAAAAACGTCAGTAAGAAATAAAATTAATTAGTCCTACCTTACTAAAAATAACTCTAACGCATAGGAAACATGGTAATATCCACTTAGGATAAGATATAGTTCAACTTTGAAAAATACAAAATTTATCAGTCTGAAACATCAGTCTTACTAGTTAAGTAGACTATTATTAGGCCTAACAATTGTTCAGTCTTGTGTTTATTTTTAGAATGATTTTGGAGTGACCTGTTTTGACTATGTTTAAAGAAGTAAAACATATCTCACACTGCTTACACTTAACAAAACTTCTCACCCTATGCAAAGTAAAAACAAAAAATATAAAACAATTAAAGCTATATTATTTATTTACATGTAAAGAATTAATTAAATAAAAACGTCTTCTCAAAGAAAACGCATCAACAACGCGCTCCTGTATTGCGGGTATTGCATTGACTTTCTGCAGGCGTTTTTAATATATTTTTTTTATCTCGTCTCAAAAAATCTTGACCAAAATTAAATATCGAGATTTAAAATTTCCCGAAAATTTCTCCAAGTTTTGAGACCCGTAAATATCTAATAAATATGGATTAAAATATTTCAAGAGTGTACACACAAGTACATATTCTTATATATACATATTTTTTTATTATTTTTTATTAAAAGTATATATTGCTACAAATAAATCCTAAAAATTTCATGCAAATAGGTTTATTTATAAAAATTATAAAAATAAATTTTAAAAAACTTACCAAAATGTTGATTTGCGCAGTTATGAGAAACCTACTTCGAACACTTTGCAAAATGCATTAGGCAGGCCTAGTCTTGAATATACTATTACTATTAGTCTTATGCATTAGGTAGTCTTTTGAATATACTATTTACGCTATGTACATGTTGTCTTTTTTTACAAACGAGCATGATTTACAAAACATTCTGGGGGTACGGTCGCCCCACACCACACACACACTGTCCTGGATCGCCGCCTTTTCCCTTCAGGATGGTTTTCATATGAGCACAATTTGCACACTCTTTCCTTACCATCAGGAATTTTTCTCAGTCCATAGCCCAAATTTTGAGCAACTTCAACACTATCCCCACCCCCTCCTACCTCCACTGGGACACTTTTTGTAGCCAACCATTCTTTTGATAAATAATTATTCCCCTCTTAAAGTCAGCCCTTTCCAGGTTTTTTCCAGGTGTATTTAATGTATAAAGAATGTATGAATTCAGAACCATTCTGCCAATTACATTAAGTAGGCTATAACCTTTTTTGCGTGTTTCATTGTTCTTCTTTCGTCAAGATAAACGTACAACATCTGATCGGTTGAATCTATCCCCACCATTCCCCGATTATACTTAAATTGTATTTTTGTTTTTTTTTTCGTTAGCAATTCTTGGCCAGATCTTCTTTTCTCAGAGTACCAGTGAGGAAGGTTTTATTGCTGTATAATGTTCTAGCTAGGGCAATGGAGGTAAAAAAAAAAAATTTCAAGGAACATGTGATGGGCTTTGTTTAGACATCCTGCCATTTCTAACTGTTTCATCACAACTGAGCTGGCCAACCCAGTCTCCATAATTCATTCATTGTTATCGGATCGTTGAGCCCCTTTATAACAATAAAACTATAACTGTATAGAACTGTACGCAATATTGAGTCACACAAGACCCAGAGTTTAATACCCCATTTATGATGTTTCTTTGCAGGCATGTACTGAGTCAAGGCGACTTGTTTTTTCGTATCTATTTGCATGATCTATAATGGGTTGAAATCGTCCGCAAGGGTCATATCCCGGCTCTCGTGTTTAGGTTGAGTGTCGACATCTATGAGAAGGAAAAATTTCAAAATCGCCTGAAAACAGTCTCTTGCCATCATTTTTGCAAAATACGGTGTCTCCAAACTAAAATGAGTGTCCCAATAGCTTTTTATGCTCGGTTTTCTAATCATCCCCATATTTAGAATGATGGCAAGAAACGCTTTCATTTCTGCCACATTTACATCCATCCATTCCCACGGAGCTTACGGGCATATCGATTGGTGTTATGTATTTACAAACATTTTGTAGAGGTTGTTATGAACAAGTTAAAGTAACTAATAGGTTTTAAGTTTGGTGGCGGGCAATGCTTAGGCCCACTATTCTCTAAAAATTGGAATTCATGGTCAGGAGGATGGTCATTACCCTCTTTGACCTCATCCCAGCTGCTGCTGTCTTCTGCTACATTTTGTGTACGTGCTACATTTGGTCTGACAGCCCTAGCTCCTCTACCTCTATTGCCTCTGCTCCTACCACTCTACCATGTCTAGAAGTACTAGCACCACCTCTAGGTACAGCCCTAGGTGTAGGCCTAGTTGGTTCAGGGTCATCTACATGGTGTCTACTCTCCGGGAAATTCGGGAAAACCGGGAAAACTCCGGGAATTTTTGATCTTACCTTGAAATGTCCTGGAATACTCCAGGAATCCACCCAAACCTCCGGGAATCCACAGCCCGGTCATCGGAATCGTCGGCTAACCAAACACTACCGCTTTTGTTGCCGAAATCGCGGAGACGATCATCGGTGTCGCCGAAACGGCAAGATATCCTCACGGGTGTTGCCGCGATCGCGGGAGACAATTATCGGTGTCGCCGAAACCGCAGGATATGGTCACGGGTATTGCCGCGATCATGGGAGATGATTATCGGTGTGGCCGAAACCGTGAGATATGGTCACGGGTGTTGCCGCGATCGCGGGAGACAATTATCGGTGTCGCCGAAACGGCAAGATATCCTCCCGGGTATTGCCGCGATCGCGGGAGACGATTATCAGTGTCGCCGAAACCGCAAGATATGCTCACGGGTATTGCCGCGATCGTAGGAGACGATTATCGGTGTCGCCGAAACCGCAGGATATGCTCACGGGTATTGCCGCGATCGCGGGAGACGATTATCGGTGTCGCCTAAACCGCAGGATATGCTCACGGGTATTGCCACGATCGCGGGAGACGATTATCGGTGTCGCCGAAACCGCAAGATATGCTCACGGGTATTGCCGCGATCGTAGGAGACGATTATCGGTGTCGCCAAAACCGCAAGATATGCTCACGGGTATTGCCGCGATCGTAGGAGACGATTATCGGTGTCGCCGAAACCGCAGGATATGCTCACGGGTTTCGCCGCGATCGCGGGAGACGATTATCGGTGTCGCTGAAATCATAAAATATGCGAACATGTTTTCCCGCGATCGGTTGCTTGTGTTGACGAGACTGCAAGATATGCTCACCGGTATTCCCACGATCGCAGGAGATAATAGCTGGTGTCGCCTTACTCTTTTTTATGTTGTATAAAATATTTTTCTTTGGAAAAGTTTTGTTTTAAATTAAAATAATCATTAATAGTAATAATAAATTATTATTAGCGGGTTGCGATTAGTTGAACGGGTTCCGATAGTACTGTAGCTCTTAAAATTCAGGAATTTGTCTTGAATTCTCCTGGAAAACTCCTTGAATTTTTCAAACCAGGTTTAGTAGACACCATGATCTACCTCTGAGTCAGATGTCTCATAGTTAGGTGTTTGCCTAGATCTTTGTAACAAAGGTAGCCTTTTACCTCGTTGTGGAATTCCTGACGATGTACTAGGTTGATCAGGCTTGAAAGTTGGATCCTCATCCGTATCATCAACTAATTCACTATCACTATTCAGACTAGTAATATCATAACCTTCATTTTCACTGTCACACAAATCAATTGTCAGTCCTGATTCTCTAGCAAATTGTCCAATTGTGTGGCTAACTGGCGAGTTAGAACGGTTTTTGTCACCCATATTACTCCAAAATAGTTAACAACAATAACCGAATAAGCTGTAACAACACGCAACACAATATAAACACACAATACGCGATTGTAAGCAAAGCTTCTCACTGCTACTACGTTCCAAGCGGCAGACGCTACTGCCACGTAGATTACGTCATCACTGTGGCACACACACTATATAACATCATGAGGTGTTGGTTTATCCTATTTAGCTAAATTATTTCCCTTCAATTTGCCGCATTCTGCATGAAAATATTACAATCAACATCAGAGATGTATGTATCATAGTAAAATCAGTTTTATCAGATCTTAGCATTTTTCGGCAAAATTACGTCATCCGATATATCGGATCTTAGCACTTTTCTTGACAAAGTTGTGATCAGATATATCGGATCGTAGCACCAAAAGGGCTAAGTACTTTTAACAAATGTACATTTAGTTTAAATAAAATGCTACAGTATAAAGATAAATAGTTCAATGAACAATTAATTATCCAGTTAAATAAACAATAAAAATGTTAGAAAGTCTGGCAGATTGTACAATTTGAATTTGGCAGTTGAAGTGATGATGATTAATGGTAGTAATGGACTTATGGGGGAATAAATGAGCCAACCAATGAATTTATCTAACTGATTTAACAAAATCCTTCTCTGGTAAAGGGAGTGACTATAGTTATTTTCATTCACTAAGTTGGATACGGTGGCAAAAACATTTAAATAGTAAGCAAACACTACTAGATTTCTACTAGTTTAAAGATTTTAATATCCAGGCCTATTAGATGACACTATAGGCCTATTTCAAATATAAAAATATTTTAGTTAACAAAATGTTCATTAAATAATTGTTTACTATTCATATGTTTGTTTTCTTGTTATTGTTAAAATGAAAAAGTTTTCTTTTAGATATTCACTCATAGTCTTTTGATTCTGTTTTAGGTTCGGTATGTGTGGACCTTTGTGATACTCGATGCCTTCCTGTGAGCCACAATGTTCACTTGGCATGAAGCTGTTGTAATTATGTAATTACACCTTAAATTATTGCTATGTAACTTTTACTGTTGATACCTACATATATACATACCTGAAATATATACTAAAATAACTGAAATCTTATCTTATTCAAGGCCTCTAAAAATTAGCAATAGAATTTTCCCAACAACTCCAAAGGGCTTATAGGATACATACCTTATTGCATTTTAGTAACTCAATATACCTGTAACAAACTTTTGAGGTTTTGCTGTCCTCTAATTAAATTGTATAGGTACCAAAATCCAAAATTACTAAAAGTTTATAAAAAAAAATAATGTTGCCCAAATTATAAATACAGTAGGTTTTATTGCAAACAAGTGTAAATAATCTAGACCACTGATTTAGCCAACCGTCCATGAATGGTGAAGAAAGTATACAGTGGCTTGGTTTAAAATTGTAGTTTCCAGAACTCGTAAGTGCAGTAAAAGGTAGACAAAGCTCTGTTAAATTACATATAGGCTGTATAATGTTACGCAATTACATTACTGAATATTGAAATTGTGTTAAACATTCTTGTTAATTTCACTGTGAATACTTCTAGAGTATGAGTATATCAATTCTATTTTGTATTGATTACAAAACAATTTATTTGATTTAACTTTTGGAGTTCTCTGTATTTCAGTTTAGGATGTAGAATCTACTTGCATTTCAATTTGTTTTAGCGAATTTCCCATATAGGGAATAAGCTATTACCGTAGTACTCATGGTAAGACCTGGACGCGGGACCGATTTTTTTTTTTCATTTTGAGGTCCCTAGAGGCCAAAAACACCATCCGTTCAAATTCATATATATATATATATATATGTGTCCGTTAGCACGATAACTCGAGCAAAAATGATCCGATTTTGATGAAATTTGGTACAAACGTGTAAACCTACGTTTATTCGAACGAGTTCGCGATCCAGCATGATCGGACCATGGGAACGGGGATTTACGGGGGGTTTTATGGGGTAAAAATAGGTTTTTCCCATTTTTGACCCAAAAAACATAAAATTTAGCAATTTCTTTCCAAACCATTTTGTAGAGCTTAAAAAAACAAATAATTTAGTATATTGAAGAGTTATTATGCGCCTAATGGTTACGGAGAAAATTCCAAAAAATTGTAAATTTAAAATTCCCATGTTATTCTTATGGAGAATAAGTAAATTGTTGTAGTTTGCTTGTTTATGAACATATTTTGGTCAAATTTGGAAAATGTTTTTATTTCTTACTAACTATTAACGTTTTACAAAAAAAAAAAACAGTTTTACTCTTCCTGATGCAGCAAACCTAAGTACTAGTTAAACTAATTCTATTTAAATAGAGAATAAATGTTATATTTTTAAGTAGACATTTCAGTGTAAATCCAATCAGTCAAATGGAAATTCGCTTAGTCTGCAGGTTTGCTGCGGCGGGGGTATTTATATTTTGTAATAGATTCATTATGTATGTATAGTCCATAGTTTTTTTATTTAGGTTAAATACAATTGATCAATTTTTTTATTTTTAAAGTCAAGAGTACTTGGCCTAAATAGAGGGAAATACGAAATACTTTATCGAAATGCAAAATATGTACCGGTACTTACGACTCTCATGCGTAAGAAAACATGATTTAGACATGTCACCTCCAAAATGGCATTTTCTTTGGCATAATGCCTTTGAAAAAAACAAGTACATCTTCCAACAACATGTGGTTTGCAGGCAATGGCATCTGATGGGGGATAGATTACACAGACTTGCATACTATGCTGTTAGCTTTCTCTGGTCCAGTTCTTTGAAGTGATAAACCAGCATACCCTTGTTTACAGAAATATGTTAACTAATTTTGTAAACTGAGCAGGGAACAATTTTTCCTAGCGGTGTGCAGTGTTGGGAAGTAGCGCGCTACAAGTAGCGACGCTACAGTAGCGCGCTACTTTTTTGTAGCGTTAGCTGTAGCTACGCTACTTTTAAAATTTTGTATCTAGCTGTAGCTAGCTACATATTTAAAGTAGTTGTAGCAGAATTTTAGCTACTTTTCTCACATTATCATTGATTGAGATAGTTATTTTTATCACATCCTTACGTGAAACAACCTTTTTCATACTGAGATTTTCAAGAAAATTAGGCCTACTTTCTTGGCTTCATACAGCTGGTCACAGTCGTTTCATTACCTATTACAACGTTGCGTGGACATGGAGACCAGTATCTGAGTGTTATCCACATTTTTGGCTCTTATTTCCTTCATTTGCTACTCTATGATTACTGTCAGATAAAATCGCTAGTTGCAGATGACGTTTAAACGTTACCGGTGACAAGAGAAGCTATTAGTAATCAATTTAGTTTAAACTTAGGTTTTAATTTTAAAAAAAATAATGAGAAAGCTGGTCTATCAACCTTTGCTTCAGCTGTTGATTGTGGTTCATCATCACAAGCCCTTCCTTGGTTAGATTACAAAGATAAAGGTTTACTAAATGAACGAAGAGGAAATTTCCTGATGAGATTTAAGATATGCCTAGAATACATAATAATTGTAACAAAAAAATCTCCATATAACATGAAATTTGCATTGAAAAAGTAGCATACAGTAGTTTGCTCCTGCTAACAGCTCTTGTCAAGGACTATTCCTAGGCTATATGCTATTGGATTAATACGAATACCAAGTTCAATTTAATAGGAATATATCTGTTTAGTGCTTGTAAGAATAAGCCTACTATAGCCAACTTGTTACATAGCCAAGTAGGCCTACATGTTATTTTTACTTAACAATTTTCAAAATGTTTAAATTAAAAGCCGATTTCAGGATAAGTTGCTAAATACTGTTTTCCATACCAACATTTGTTGAAGCACAATTTGACCTATGCATAATGACAAAGGACGATTTCTTGACATTGAAAAGTGTTATTCATAGAACAAGTAACATATTACTATGGTTAAAAGTTACAGTTATGTCGTTTTTAACATTAAAAATAACGAAAGGCAATAAACTCCAATTTCAGTAGGCTAGGCTCTGTAACACAAAAAAGTATTTTTAAATAATCGTTTTACAGTTTTATTGTTTTTAATAGTTGATTAAGTACTTCTATAAATGAATTTATATCAAAGAAATAAAATGGGCCTTACAAATATAGTTTGGTTGTATGTCCTTTGAACGTAATGAAATTTACATATAAGATGCTCAAAAATAATACAATATTTAAAAACAAGTACTAAATATGATGGAACACCCAACTAACTTATATTGGTTCTGTTGTTGTAATGTTATCTTTATACAGGGTGTTTCAGAATTAGTGTCGAATATTTTAGGGTATTATTCCTGGGTAAGAAACATATCCAAATATCATATTTAAACAGTCCGGAAGTCTTTATTTACTCAAACAGCCGCCATTTTGTTTTTTTCCTTTAATATTCTTTTAAGAGAATGGTTAAACATACAAAATTGAAACTTTGCAAAAACATTTCTGACTACTAGACAAAGCTACAAAAAAATTATGAAAATTTTCCAAATACACAAAACAAAATGGCGGCCATTTAAAATTTTGTTTCTTAAATAACTCAAAAACCGTAGATTTTATGAAAATTTTACTAGAATAACTTTTTTTATGTAATTTTATTACAAATCGATTGACACCTTACTTTTTACAATTGGATATATATTAACTGAGATGGCAGTTTTAGTGATACGTGACCGCTGGAGGTTAGTTGTAGTGCATGCGGAGCCATGCGGCTAAAGTCTGCCACAACAATGCAACAGTTTCGTTGGTAAATAACAACTCAATTGTATCAGTAACGTTTGGTTAATTAATGTAGAAACTCAAGTTTAAAATACTTTATTACATGGATAAAGTCTGCCACAACAATGCAAGTCTCCATCCGCTATGCAAGCTATTATTCAGCGATTTTATATTACCTTTGACTCTGTATCCAATAGTCAATGATATTACTAAAAAAATACATAATAAAATATTACATAACTCTAAAAGTATCTTTTTTATCAATTATCTATCCATAGGACAGCTTAAAATTTCAAACACCATTTTACTGTCTTTACAATTTACACAAAATATCCAAACATTTATATCTGCTGTGGTGGAAATCAACGTAGCCTACTTATTTACAAACTAATCCGCAGATTTTATTATTCTCTGAAAATGTTACTGTATTATTTATTCAATATAGTCAGTTCCTCTAACTTTTTACACTGAGTGTACAATTTGAAAGTGAGCACTTTAAAGCTTTGAAACTCGGTAAATGGGTTCTAGTTATCAATGATCGTAAGTGTAATTTTCATAATTAATTCTACCCTATCAAAATTCAAAATGGCGGAAATTCCAAATTTTAAAACTCAAATATCTTTGAAACGGTTTATTTTACAAAAAGATAACAAGAACAACGTTTTTTCTAAATATTATTTTGAATAGTTAAAAAGTAATTTCATTCAAATCGGTTTGTAAATAACAAAGCTATTTACACTTGTGTGGTTAAATTACAACAACTAATGTAACAATTGTTCACGTTTTTTTCTAAATATTATTTTGAATAGTTAAAAAGTAATTTCATTCAAATCAGTTTGTAAATAACAAAGCTATTTACACTTGTGTGGTTAAATTACAACAACTAATGTAACAATTGTTCAAAGTGCCGTCCTTCAACTCGATTACAAAGTCGGCACCTTTTAATCATGGACTCGCAAACTGCTCGGAAAACATCTTCACCATCTTGAATAGCACCTGCCGCAGCAACTACTCTGGCCACAAGGTCTTCTTTGTTTTCAACGGGCGTGTTGTATACAAGGTCTTTCATGCGGCCCCAGAAAAAAAAACCCAAGGGGTTGAGATCAGGTGACCGCACGCGGGCCACGGAACTGGTCCGCCACGCCCTATCCACCGCTGACGATAAGTAACGTTCAGAAAATCCCTAACAACATTTCCAAAGTGGGGAGGGGCACCATCATGTTGGAACCAAATATCCTCCCTGATTTCAAGAGGCACATCTTCCAAAAGTTCAGGGAGTATGTCCCTTATAAAAGAAACGTACATGGAAGAATTCATGCGATTTGGAATTTGGAGTTGCATTGTTGTGGCAGACTTTAGCCGCATGGCTCCGCATGCACTACAACTAACCTCCAGCGGTCACGTATCACTAAAACTGCCATATCTCAGTTAATCCAATTGTAAAAATTAAGGTGTCAATCGATTTATAATAAAATTACATAAAAAAAGTTAATCTAGTAAAATTTTCATCAAATCTACGGTTTTTGAGTTATTGAGGAAACAAAATTTTAAATGGCCGCCATTTTGTTTTATGTATTTGGAAAATGTTCATAATTTTTTGTAGCTTAGTCAGAAATGTTTTTGCAAAAATTCAATTTCGTATGTTTAACCATTCTCTTAAAAAAAATATTAAAGGAAAAAAACAAAATGGCGGCTGTTTGAGTAAATAAAGACTTCCGGACTGTTTAAATATGATATTTGGGTATGTTTCTTACCCAGGAATAATACCCTAAAATATCCGACACTAATTTTGAAACACCCTGTATAGTTGCAATTAATTTTACATTTACCTAATGTGCGTGGAATAAAAGTATCGTCTTTGGAAAAGTAGCTAAAATTGTAGCTATAGCTACATTTCATTGTAGCTGTAGTTGTAGCTAGCTACTTTCTCGGAGCTGTAGCTAAGATACTTTTTTGGAAATGTAGCAGTAGTTGTAGCTAGCTACATTTTAAAAGAAGCTTCCCCAACACTGGCGGTGTGCCAGGGGATAGTGCCGTATTGACCACCAGGCCGTAGCCTAGGGCCACAGCGGTTGTTGATAGTGATAAATTGGGAATTGTGGATTCAATGATTTTGATTTTTGGCCCTAACAAGAACAACAACACTAAATATATTTATACTAGTAGTAGAACCTATAAAAGCAAATAAAAATAAACTTGAATCTCCTTTTTGTCATTAATTAATAATTAATGGCAAGAAGAAGATTTAAATCGTTTCAAAGATGGAAAAAGTTAAAAGCTATTAAAAACTAATTATAAAATTCAAAGATTTAAAAATTATGTTAGGGAATAACAGTCAACAGTAAAAATATAAACCATGTTACTGTTTAAATTCCCAGTACTTCTGCTGCTGTAGAAGAAGCCATAGATGTTTCACGAGATCAAAATACGTCTTGAAATCCAGCTTCCAGTCCTGAATTGGCCTTGCTTCAAACCACCTCAAATATTCAAGATTCTAGTTCATGGGGCGGTTTACAGGTGGGGATATTTGATGAGAAAAATCACAAAAGTTGCAATAACTTTTAACCCGTCTTTACAGCAATGATAAGGGTTGTGTACACTTTTGATTAGAGTTAAAAAGACCATTGCATACTTACTTTAAAATCAAAATCGGTCAAGCTGTTTTCTTAGGAAATATGATTTTTCCTTTAAGTACTGGTAGTAGATTTCCATGGGAAAATCACCACCAAAAATAAAAATGTCATATAAATGAAAAACATGGAGATTTAAAAAATTCAAAATTTTATTAAAATCGGACCACATAATCCATGGTCTCTATCTCTTTAAACATCCACACAAACATACTGACACACAGACAGACATCACTTTGAAAACAACTTCTTTGGCTCCAAAGGGAATATATTAATTAACAGCTGTGTCTAAGGAATATGTTGGCCTTAGTCACTAACAAGACTACAAGATTGCGCCACTCATACTACACTCATCTCCATTCATACTTGGCTTAAAATACATGCTTTCGTATGGTCACCATTTCAAAGTAAAGTATGAAAGTATTGAAAAGTATCCACCCAAAACTCTACAGAAATTTGGATGAAAACTTTACTTTCACTACTACTTTTTTATATTTTCTTTATACAGTACGTATAGGGCAAGAAAGAAATACAGCTAAAACTTAAATAATTGCTAAATATAACGGAAACACGCCAAGTCCAGCCAGGGGCGGCTCCAGCACGGATTCTTGGAGGGGGCCATTGCTTGAAATATTGGGATGTTGGCTGTGTACCACCTAAACACCGGGAGGTTTGGTAACTTTTGATAATTAGACCTACAAACTCGCAAAAAGATTTTTACGCCACACTACATTATTTTGACAAACTTCCCACGCAAGGATTTAGTCCAGAAAACAGCTGTTTCCAGCCAGCTTATTCAAATGGGGTTTCATTGCGTACTACTGTACTGTAATGAGGTTTACCGGACACCAATCAGCTGATTATACTGTATTTAGGTGGCAATGAATGGTTATAAACAGAAACATAACCTCTCTTTGAGGTTAATACTAGTGATTTTTATTCATTTTCTTTAGTTGTAGGAAGTATATAAGGATTTGTAAAGATTTAATAGTATGGCGTAAACTATCGTACGTAACTCGTCCAAAATGTGTGTACCTCGTGGAACTCGTATGGTAATCCCTAATCCCGTACTCGACTTTGTCTCGCACGGGAACGACGAAACTCGTCCGGTAAACACTTATTTTTAGGACTAGTAACGTAATATACTATTTAATTGTAGAAGTAGAAGAAAATGTTTAATTGTAAAAAATCTAGATTTAAGTTCACAGGAGGTTGAAACCCCTGAAACAATAAATCATGAACATCTCCAGCAGTCGATGAGACATTATCGTCTTCCCCTGCGATTTAAGACATATCCTAAACAACTCCCGCTATCAAACCATATAAGCCAAATTTTTTACTGCAGTAGGAAATATATTTTTGTGCAGTTAAAAGTTCACACTGACTCATGATCAAGATAAAGATGGAAAAGACAATTAGTATTACTGTATAAGAAACGCTGCGGGCAAGTGTTTTTATAAGGATTATGCAGTTTTGTATTGTAAATTCATTGTATATGTGATCGTTCTAAGACTTAATTGTCACCCTGTATATACAAAACTATTATAGAAATATTAGAAATAATAAACCATAGTACAATTTGTGTTATACCTGTATATACTTCCATTTAAAACAATAAAATTTGGTTGAATATTGTCCCAACATAGTTGGATGTATGTTCAAACAGGGTCGCTGTCAAGGCGCCACCACGTCAAACCGCCACTTCGGTATTTTGGTCAGAGGTGTCAACCCGCCACCACAAAAACACCACGGTGGCGGGTTGACGTCTACATAATATCACCACCACGAAAACGTTGTCATGGTCAATGAGCCACCACGACAACCCGCCACCCCCAGTGTCTATCATAGGTGGCGTGTTGTCTTGAAGCTCCATGTTTGATTCTGTCAACCCGCCACCTCGCACGTAGGCGACAATGTGCCACCCTGTCAACCCGCCACCACTCTTTTACGAGGTAGCGGGTTGACATGTACGCTCAATGTTCGGTGCCGTCAACCCGCCACCTCGCATGTATGCGACAACGTGCTACCCCGACAACTCGCCACCATGCACAGTGACTGTTGACCAGTTGAATTTATATTCTGTAGAATTAATTATATTGTACATTGATTCAGTTATTTTAAATTTATATTGTAAATTAGTAATTGTATATTTTTAGACACATAGGTTGTTCGTAGTAGAAACCGGCTGTTTGGAATGTTTTGCCGATGTTTTATTTACACAGCGGAAATATGTGGGGGTTTGAAAAGAATGTTATGATGACTAATTAACAAAAAATAATTAAAAGGCTTGTAGGACATCACTTATAGTTTTTGTGGGATTTGAGTAACATAAGGGACAGGTAGGACCTTGCAATCATTCAGGCATTTGCTACATGTAGCATCAGCTCAACAACGATCGTTCACAAAATGTTGGCGGTTTTTTCCATCGATGTACATAGATCCCTTGTGGTTTCCTGCCATTATATCTTGTTATGTTTGTTTACAGGTGATTGACGCTTAGGCAAACCTCTAGTGTTTTTAAAGTAGGATGAAAACACCTGGAAATGCCATAGATTAGTACCTACATACCAAATTTAATAAAAATCAGACTACAGGTCAACAGGTATGGTATGTAGCTCTGTACACATCCACACATACACACAGACATCACTTCGAAAACCACTTTTTTGGATTCAGGGGGACCCAAACGGATATATCCACTCAAAACTCCATCTCTAACATTTTTACGAAAAGAATACTTTCTCCATATACTATGTGTAGGGGGAAAAAGTAAAAAAAAAATTGTTTTCTCAGTTTTGTGCACTGAATCAGTATGTATCTTTTCATTAATTACGTATTATATTTTTATAAAACTTCTGTTATTTTGTATGTATTATCTAAAATGATTAAGTTTTCAGACTTCTAAAACACAAATGTGTCTTGAGCTTTGTCTTCAGGGAGATAGACCAAGTGTTTTTCAGGAGAATGTTGCACACCAAAGCTGATTCCTTTCAGAGCTTCTCGTTTTTCATATGTAGGAATGGGGTTGTATTTGGGCCCCGGGGTTCCAGATTTATACTTCTGATGCAGTCGTCCAAGGATAGGGACACGAGGAGGTGTTTTCAGGTAAACATTATTTTCAGGCAACATATATTTAGGTCCTGGAGTTAGTTGCTTTGTTTTAAAAAAGTTACGACCCAAAATTGAAAATGCCGGTTCTGCTTTTAAATCGGGAATGCTTGGACCGATGCTTGTCGGTGGAGCATATTTATTTGGTCCAGGACCAACTTTTGATTTGCGAAGATCGGCCCTTTTATTCCCAAATGAATAAGCAGGAGGTGATGGCTCTACTAACTTTGTGGAGTTGTCATATTTCGGTCCTGGAGTACGACCTAATCTGGAACTTTTCCATCTGTCCAGCATTGATGTTTCTTGGGTTGTCAATTTGCCATGTTGAGTGAAGCCTCGAGTGTCATATTTTGGCCCAGGAGCTTTGGCTCTAACTCTACCATACCCAACTGTTCTGACTCCAAATGAAAACGCAGGAGCTTGTGCTAGTGTCGGATCAAGCTGACCGGCCCCAATAGTCGAGGGTAAGGCATATTTGGGCCCAGGACCATGAACTCTCACCATTTTATTTATGTAATAAAAAATTTAGATCACCATAAAAATTATGTTTTAGAATATATAATTTTGGTGCTATGGCAATTAAATTATTGAGAAACACATTAAAAAGGAAAAAAAGTAACAAATATTATTACTTAGGTTTGAATAGAAAGGGCTTATTGCCTGAGAATAAGGGAGACCAAGGATGGGATAAGCAGGCTTATCTTAAGAAATGTAGGCATCCCACTTCACTACAGTAACACAGAAAAAACACAAGACAGTGAAAGACTTTAGTATCTATTGTGACTCAAAGTTGAGAAAGGGGCCAGTCAGTGGCCTCGAAATATCCAATTTCTCTTGTGTTTTCTTCTGTGTTACTGTAGTGAAGTGGGATGCCTACATTTCTTAAGGTAAGCCTGCTTATCCTATCCTTTGTCTAACTTATCTTATCTAACAGGGGCTGGCCGAGACCATGAAGCACTTCATCCGAAAATCGAATTATTGGGCACCCCAGACAATTGTTTTCTTGATGACCTTGCAAGTTCAGGCGTCCAATGAATGCCTGTAGCTTCCCAATTAGTTCATCCTCGGGAAGATATCTTCCTCTAGCCGCATTACCAAGAGTTATCATTCTAGCATCAGAGAGCTCGTCACAATCAAAGAGCAGGTGATCGGCTGTCTCCTCTGACCCATCACAGTGCCTACAGATCGGTTCATCATCAAATAAGCCCATCCGTTGTAAATGTTTCCTGAATCGCCGTGACCAGTTATCAGTTCTACAATTAATTTTATTATACGCCTGTCTAGTCTCAAGAGGTCAGAGGCAACCTTTTTGGAAGGCCTAAACAGAGTAATCTTGCTGACCCTAAGAAGGGGGGTATCGACCCAGCGTTTGCGGTGCTCTTCATTGGCCCATGACGCAATCGAAGAACATGCGCTATTTTGTGAAATGCCACAGAAGGGTTGTGGGCCTATCATTGTTGTCGCAGAGGCAGTGTTTGCCAATCTGTCTGCAGCTTCATTTCCTTTTATGCCTGAGTGTCCAGGCACCCAGCAGAGTGTAAGATCATTTCTCCTACCCAACTCAGACACAGAAGCAAGGCAATCCCACACGAGCCTTGAGTTGAATTCGTAAAGAGTTTAGTGCTTTTAAGGTGGCTTGACTATCAGTATAGATATTAATTGTTTTGTCTCTAATCTCTTTGTTAAGATATTCTCGAGCACAAATCAAGATGGCAGTGACCTCTGCTTGCAAAACAGTTGGGTGCACCCCATGGGAAGAGCCAGTGCCTTCATTTATCCAATGCACACCTGCTCCAGTGCCCCCATTTTTGATTTTAGTACCATCGGTATAGCATTCTAAATCACCTGTGGGAATGGGCCCTTTTCCGCCAGACTATTCCTTCCTATCTGGTATTAGTATTTTGAAGGCTTTCCAAAGGAGTGTTTTTTGGACATATTATGATCTGAAGGCAGGTCCAACTCATCTGCCCTCAGATCACATGTCCAAAAAACACTCCTTTGGAAAGCCTTTCAAAGTACTAATACCAGTTGTCTCCCTTATTCTCAAATATTATTATTTGTAATTTTAGGTAGTTTATTTAACTCTTTGAGTGTTAGTTCAATAATTTGTATTTTGTATGACTTTTTTGTTTTCTTTTAAATTCCATTACCTGTTGTTGAATTGTAACTGTATTGTTTTCACTATTTTATCAATCAGGCTAATCTTAATATATAAAAGAAAGTTGTGTTAGTTACAGCGTTTATAACTTGAAAACTACTGAACCAATTGGCATGAAAATTTACAGGGATATTAGGCCAGGCAACGAATGCAAAAAAGGGTATATAGAGGGAAAGTTTTGGAACACAATTTCTGACTTCGCAGTGTTGTTTAGCATAGTTAGGAGGTGAACATATCAAAAGTCCCCGAACCTAGCACCTGTGCTGAAGGGGAGGGGGGGCTTGAAGGTACAATTTTTCAGTTTTCAGATATCTCGGAAAGTATGCGTCCTAACTAAATTATAGTTATTTACTAAATGAAAGCTTATTAGATTTCCAGCAAGGTTGTAATTTACTATTTTTCGATATCTCCTTTAGTTTTCGCGTTATCAACACTTAAAGTCAGATAATTTAAAAAAATACAGTTTTTCATAAACAATTTTGTCTTTTTTGACCAGATAACTCTCTATCTATGTATCAAAAATAAGTGCTGGCCAGTGGATATACTTACTTACTTACTTACTGCCGTGGCTCCACAAATCTCAGTTGATTCTTCGCCTTGTGTACCAGCTTCTTCCACCCTTCTCTGTCTTTTGCCAAGTTGACACTTGCACCCATTGTCCTGATGTCGTTCAATACTTGGTCAGTCCATCTCAATTTCGGCCTTCCCAATGGACGTTTACCTCCAAGTGTGGCTCTCCAAACTTCATACAGTCTTGTTCCTTTCTCTCTTCTTAGCACATGCCCTATCCAACTTAACCTTCTTCCTTTAACTATTGCAACAATATCTGGGTCGGTGTATAGTGATCTTAACTCTCTATTTTTCCTTATTCTCCACATTTGTCCCTCATGTACTGGACCAAATATTTTTCTTAGTACTTTATTTTCAAACACTATGAGTCCGTTTTCATTTTTCTTGGACAATACCCATGTTTCACTACCATATAACAGAATAGGTTGAATTATTGTCTTATATAACTGTATTTTGGTTCTGTGAGATAATACTTTAGATGAGATCAACTTCTTGCAGGCCAGTGGATATAGGCAATTAAATTCCCTTCAATAACTAGAGGACCCATGATGCTCCGTAGGGTTAAAATAAATATAATATCCGAGAAATAATCAAATTCCTGATTTTTTATTGAGCAATACAGTATCTTGAGCTTAACTGATTCAAACTATCAATATCTCAGATTAAAGCCAATAATTTACTAATTATTTTGAGTCTAAATCATATAAAGGACCTGAACAATACTGGAACTATTGATTTTTAATCATATAAAATACCTTATGAAAAATAATTTTAATATTTGTAAACTTACTTATTTGTAAAAATACCTTGCGTGTTTGCTTGAAACTCGTCCGATTTGAAAAACTAATAGCTTAAATGTAAGCAGGTATTTGAAGGATCTTGGACCAAAATATATAGGATTATCGACATGAAACTTTGTGAACAATAAGGCTTTTTTGTGTTAAGAATTAACCCCACATATTATATACCAAAATCTTCGTCTGGGTGTGTAGATGTGCAAACTGGCTTTAGATTTTTAAAATATATCTTTTTAAAAGCGTGGGCTGCCCTCAAAGTTCCTTCCATAAGGATAACATTGTGATTGATTTGAATGTTATTATATTCTAAAACAGATGTCAATACATTAGTTTAAAAAAAATTACATCCCAGCTGTTTTGTTTGGTTTTGAAATGTAAACAGTTTGCATGTTTTGAAAAATAATTAGAAACCCGGCAACGAAATGTTACCGATAGGACACAACGGGAGAAAAGTTTTACTTTATATTTTTGTTTAAACATGCCAAGGACCCGATGACAAAGAAGTATTGCTGGTCGGACACGGCGAGTCAACATACGGCAAGCAATGCAAAACGTAAGGAGCCCAGACGAGGAGCTGGAACAGTTAGTGGCAACGTGTACTTACAAAATTACACTGACAAATACTAGAATTCAGCAGCATTCACTTTGCGAGATGGCATTATAATGTCAGAAATGTGGTGCGCTACATTTGAAAGAAGAACAAAGAGAACGAGGCGAAGGATTTTCATCCTGCTGCCATAAAGGATAAATGAATTTACCGCCATTTCGAGAAATCTATAATATCCAGAGCTTACTTAATGTACCTAGCAAATCATTTGGGCAGAAACTACAAAGATAACATTAGATCGTTATCTAAATGCGCTCGCAATGGTCAGCACTCGAGCTAAAATTGAAGAACATAACGGTGGAGGGCCTTTCATGAATAAGGTGCACGACACAATTTAAAAACTCAATTGGCACCTTACAATCGTTAGAAGGGGAGCATCCCACAAATGCCCAAATGTATATCTCCGTACGTCGAAACCGCTGTTCAAGGAATAATGCTAAACAAAGCTAATGGCTCTTGCAGAACTGAACTAATGCACATTTTTACTCATCAATTGGTTGATATTAATCCATACGCGCAAGTTTTCAGCATGATGAGCGCTGTCCTGCAAATTAGAACAGAAAAAATAACTTAGAATGCAAATAGTCAACGATAGCTCAAGACCAACGTCGATACAACGACGCAACTTCTAACGACGTTGCTACAATATCCTAATTTATTATTCGTGCGAATTCGCACGGGTTCACCTAGTATAATTATATAACTGGTAAAATGCATCTTAAATAGAAGTAAGAATTCTAAAAAGAATCAAATTATGTTTTTTGGTCGAAAAATGCAGTAGGTTATATAAAATGCCGATACATGATGGCAAATCTGTGCGTGCATACCTTCAATTTGAGACCTCAATCATTAAAATCAGTCGGGTAGAAGAGCCAATCGAACTCGGAAAAGAGAAACCAAATTTAACTCCCATAAGAAATACATGGGGAGCAAATTTTGTTTACGTATAAGCCGAGTGGGATTATAGATAAATAAATGCCGATGCTTGATGGCAAATCTGTGCATGCATACCTTCAATATGAGACCTCAATCATGAAAATCGGTCGGGTAGAAGAGCCAATCGAACTCGGAAAAGAGAAACCAAATTTAACTCCCATAAAAATACATGGGGAGCAAATTTCGTTTACGTATAAGCCGAATGGGATTATAGATAAACATATGCCGATGCTTGATGGCAAATATGTGCGTACATACCTTCAATTTGAGACCTCAATCATGAAAATTGGTTGGGTAGAAGAGCCAAACGAACTCGGAAAAGAAACCCAATTTTTTTTAAATCTATAAGATATACCTTATTTTACGCTTTTACCTATTTCCCTTCAGTCGTAAAAGTGAATATATTTCAATGTTAAAAATTTAAAATTACAATCAA